AAAAAAAAACATCTGGCTGCTCATTTTGATGCCTGGGCCTTTTTATTTTGTTTATCTTTGTTTTCCGGCCTCTGTGACCTATCATGATCCTTCTCCATTCTATTTCCGGTCCAGCCCCCGGTTCCTGGTCCACAGAGGCACAGTAGCGGGGGGAGGGAGGCCTGTAAGTCTTTGCCATGGACCCACAGGAGGCCAGTCTACTCTGTCTGATGGGTAATTCAATGCTGATGATTAACACCGACCGCTTTCAGGTTTCACACTAAAGCACACTCACGATTCTTCTCACTCTGGCTTTCATTCATTCATTTCACCTTTGACCTGGCAGTCCCCATCCTACTCGCCACATGGTTTTAGCTTAAATGACAAAGTACATTGGCCAAATTCATCCTCACCTTCCTCCTCAGGTCATCCAGGATGGCCTGGTACTTGCTGTAGTCTCTGAAGTCCGGTCCGCTCTTGGATAAGGCCTCCTTGATCTTAATCTCCAGCTTCTGGTTGGCCTGCTCCAGGTTTCTGACCGTTTCCAGGTAGTTGGCCAAGCGGTCGTTGAGGTTCTGCATGGCAAACTTCTCATTGCCGGTGATGCTGCTCCCGCTGCCGCTCACCTGGACGCTGCTGGAGAAGCCTCCTCCTGAAACTTGGCCCATTCCCGCTCCCAGCCCACTGCGCACACTGGATGAGATGCTGACACGGTTCCCCCCAGCGCCACCATGGATGGTGGGGGCCCTGTAGACAGAGCCTTTGCCAGAGGACGAGGTGCGCAGGGAGTATGTGGTTTGCTGGGAGGTTTGCATCGTTGCTGGAGAAACTCAAGAGAGTGAGGCACAGGCTGGGCTGGCTGGAATGGGAACTCACAAACACAAGGCAGTAAGAGAGGGGAAGCCGCTAAACTATATAAACCTTTTGGGCCCTCGGGGTCCGCCCCTCAGACCACTCCCCCTCACCCTCCGTTACCTCCTCCTTTTCCACAGGCCTAAACCGCAGACGTGCTTTTAGCTTGACTTTTTTCCTTACAGTTTGTCCTAAGTGGGTAAATCCATTTCACTTCCGTCATTTTGAATAGTTTATATCGTTTTGTTCATGTGATGGCATGTATCAACTGAGCAGAGAGATATTCACCACAGATCCATTCATTAATTGCCAGTATTGACATATAAATAAGCAATAAAGCAGCGTCAGCTCTTGTCTTTTGAAA